CATTTGTTTACTGTTTATACGATACTAAATCGAGGTAAACACCCTGAATGACTTAGTATACTACCATTGATATATACATAATTATGTACTTGCATTCCAAATTGTAAGTTGTTTTAGTTTTTCTAGATACATAACTTTTACGACGCATCTAGACATAGCATATATCTAGATGCATAGCAAAAGCTACATGTCTAGAAAAGTCAGAATGACTTATAAATTGAAACAAAGGGGGTATGTACAAATCAAATATGCTAGCAAGTAAACATATTGGTGCTTGTAAAATGTATGTATTCTAGCAAGTATTTTTTAGGAAAAAACTAAATCCCAATCCTTATATTTTTGACGATTTTAATTATTGGGTGCTAATGTGGTGCCTGAAATCTTCCTATTAACTGAATAGTGAACTAGACAACAATCCATCCTACCTAATCACATTTACTTCTGTTATGTTCATACTATTTTAAAACCTTTTTTCTGTTTTGATAATTTTTGCTCCATGCCAAAATGAGAAGTGTATTTTGATAAGAAAAATGATATAAAATAGGTTTGTTTTAACCCTTAACCTCTCTTACTGTGTTGTAAATTTTGCTAAAGCATCAATATTACCTCATAGACACCCTAAATACAAATATATTGATACAAACTTTATGTCCTACACTTTGTATATAATTTGCATAGTTGTTGTTGGCAACTTATCATTGTAAGCTTATCATGTAAACGAATTTGATTCCTACACGACTTCTATGACATTCCTGCATTCCAAAGGGCCCTAAAACTCTTAGATGGCTTCGATATTAGTTGTTTTATTACATATGAAACTTTTTAGTGTAAAAGGCTAGGGATGAAAACGGTACGGATATTTTCTGACCGTATTCGAGACCAAATCCGTTTAGAGGGGTTTAGATCTATCCGTATCCGGAGTCCGGATATTCAACATCCGATACCGTATCTGTATCCGAAAACGCAAATCGCATATTTATGATGTCGGCGTCGAATCGTATCCTATCCGGTATGGTGATAGCACAGGCGTTAGGGTTACCCGAAAAATTCGGAATCGTGTAGTTTGGGTAGTTAGAAATTGGGTAGAAATCACTACCCGATATTGGTGCGTGAAATATGACTACCGATATTTTGGGTACCGGAATCGGTGCAGATAATTGAGTTTGGGTTCTACCGAGATTGCGAAAAAGAAAGCATGTATGCGCCCGGTGGGAGGAGGCAGACGGGCCGAACTTCGGCGTCGATCGTCGAGGACTTCGGACACCTTGGCATAGCATGGCGCCAGGTCGCGAGAACGCTAGCACCGCAAGCACGCAGTTTGCTACCTCATGGCAAGGCGTCGGGCGAAGCGGCTCGACTCGCGCGAAAGGCGACGGTGGTGGCTCGGCGGCGCATGGGGCACAGGCGGCGGCTTGGCGCGTGGGGTGTCGGCGAAGCGGCGGCTCGGCGTGTGTGGGGCAGCGGGCGGGGGCTCTCGGTAGGCGGCCACGCGTCAGGGCTCCTCCAGCTAGGGCTAGATATAGAGCTAGCTCGACTCGGCTCGGTCCAGCTCGAGCTGGCTCATTAGGCTAACGAGCCAGCTCGGCTCGGCTCGTTAATATTACGAGCTAGAGGGGCAACTCGGCTCGGCTTGTTACCGAGCTCGAGCTGGCTCGTTTAGATCGCGAGCTACTAAAAAAATAGGACACACATGATTATAATGTTTATACTATATTAATTTCGAAAGGTGACGTCCATCATTATACAATCATACATGATTAATACATATCAGGTTCATCAAAAGCATTAACCATGCAACATAGTTGGTCCATCCATGATCATGCAGTTCTAACATACTAACTAATTGCTTGCCACCACAAACTTAGAAAAGTCCACAGATTCAATGTCAGCATCATCATCTTCTCCCTGGAAAACAATCCATAAAATCAACATTTAAGTATCACAATAATTATAAAATTAGAATTCATATGAAACAGTTGAAATAATGATTATATATCAATAAAATAGGTGTACACTTATAGGTCAGCATCATTATTTTCTGTGTAAGGAAGATGGGCCTTAGACCCATTTACTTTGGATTTTGGTGTTTGATGATCAACACAACCAAATTGGACTAATAAATTTACAAGTAATTATTTTATAGTTCAATAAGGTGCAAGACGTGACTTGGACGAAGACGACATGATGATCCCACGATCAACACCATAAGCAAGACCCTAGAAGTATAAGAGAAGACCTAAGATATCAAGCAAAATCCAAGTACGAATATAGGAACCAAGCCGGACGCAAGATCGCAAAGAAACAAGCTTCACAGAGGTGACCGGACGTGTCCGATCAACATGCTCGGCAACGGCAGGCATCAGTAGCAGCGATCAGACGCTGAGGATTTAAGTGACCGGACACGACGATGACACTGTTCACTGTCGCGACAACAGCTCAGCACTGACCGGACGTTGGAGGGTGATCGACCGGACGTAGGAATTGCAGCGTCCGATCGAGTCCAGAGAGGTTCCAGAGCGGCGCCGGCAACAGAACCGGACAGCGTCCGATCGTCAATAACCGGACTTCGGCGCCGAAGTCGATCAATGCGCTTAGCTTTAATGGTCGGAGACGGCCGGATGGCGTCGATCAAGGCAACAACAACGTCCGATCGATCGATGAAAAAGGTGGGTTTCGTCCCCAACGGCTACTTTCTCAATGGGGCTTATAAATAGACCCCTCAACCGGCCATTTGATGTGTGTTGAGCTGAGAAAACATACCAAGGGTGTTGATACACCATTTTAGTGATCTCCACTTGCATAGTACTTAGTGATTCATTAGGTGATTAGCGTTGGTGCTTTGCGAAGTGCTTAGGTTGATTAGACCACCTCTAGGTTTATGCCTAGTGTATATTGAGGTTTGCATATCTCTTACCACTCGGTGTTTGCGCGCACTATTGTTGTACTTCGGAGGGGCTTATAGTCTTGTGAGATCACACCAACCGCGTTTGTGGTATGGCCATCACCGTGCACCAAAAGGGAACAAGGCCTACGGTGGTTTGACCGAAAGCTTGATAGTGAAGACGGCGGAGAGCATCCGGGAGAGGCTTGCCAGAAGGCACGTCGGAGACCCACTTGCGTGTGGGGAAGGCCCGAGGCTATCCACGGAGATCCCCAACCGGGAGCTTGGCCCTTGCGAGGGATTTCTTACGAGGGGCTCCAATGAGGATTAGGGGGAAGCTTGTGTGCTTCTCAATACCTCGGTAAAAATATCAGAGTCGTCGACGGAAGTTTGCATATCTCTACCTTACTCTTTAGCTTCCGCATTTATATTATTTGCATAACTCCTTTTGCGGTAGAGATATCAATACACTAGCAAAATTATAGTTGTCCATTTAGATAGTTTATATTTTTGCATAGGTTTTGTTAAGGTTAAAAAAGAGACCATAGTTTAGAGTTAGAGTTTTAAGTTGCCTAATTCACCCCCCTCTTAGGCGTCACGGTCCCTTTCATTCTGGATTCATGGTCGTGGCCTGACAGGCCTCAGCTCGTGAGCAGCTCGTGAGCTGACTCGTTAAAATAGCGAGTTAGACTTTCAGCTCAACTCGTGAAAAAGTTAAAACGAGTCGAGTCGAGCCGAGCTGAGCCGGCCACGAGTCGAGCGAGTTAGCGAGCCGTGAATATTTTGTCCAGCCCTACCTCCAACCTCGCCTCTCGTCGAGGGTCAGGGGTTAGGATTTGGGATTAGGGTGCTCTGCTCGGTCGCTTCGTGGTGGTCGGGGGAAGTGGAAGAGCAGGCTGGTTGCTGGGCCGCTGGGCGACTGGACGTAGTGGGCTTATGAATTGATTAGATGATGGGCTCTTAATTATAATATCAGGTAATGCGGGTAATTCGGGTACCGCGAGCTATTATCTGAATTTTTCAAACTAATTTCGGATATCTTGAATCACTATTCGAAATTATAATCGGGTAAATCGGGTACGGGTTCGGATAGTTTGAGTTCAGGTATTGGGTATCGGATAATTTGCCCAGAGTTAATGGCTGATACTATCCGTATACGAATCCGAATCTGACCAGAAATATAAAAACAAATATAATATCAATGATATCTATCCGTATCTGTATCCGATCCGTTTTTATCTCTGATTTGTGGGCTCTCTATATGTGCTAGAGAGGCAAAACCACCCATTGAAATCTCATAGAGGCAAATTAATCAGATTTATTTATTAGGTGATATATAAGGGTGTAGAATACCTGGTGTCCTTTTTCTTTAAGAATAGCCGGTGTCCTAAACTTGTAGGTTAGGACAAATTAGACATCAGAATAGTTAAGTGGTTAGGGCAAGTACATTGGTCTTGTCTCATAGGCGGTCTCATATAGTGTTACGTAATTTTAAGACGATTTAATAGACAACATGCATAATGGTTGTTTTTTAAGTTGTCTTGTAGTAACTCATAATTCCGTAATTTATGGATATAATAAAAGTAAAGTTGTGAGTTATATGTCAATGACAACTTATACAATGATAGAATAGTTGTCTTACAGTCCTAAATTTTAGCTAATTGAGTTGGTTGAAACAACCACCTTTTCCTCTCCCCACTCTCTGTTTCCTCCACATGAGCAAACCACCTTTTCCTCTCCCCACTCTCTGTTTCCTCCACATGAGCAAACATCCTATACGGTATTACATGAGATGACGTACCAGACCGCTCACGTTCACGTATAGCAATGTACCGTCTTTATATAATTTTTTTAATTCTACTAAAAAAATGAGAATTTTGCTCAAATTCGAAAATTTCCTGAAATCCCAAAATTACCCTTTTCCATCTGCCTTCCAAACTGTGAAGCTTTTCTCGCACCCGTACTCCCCCCTCCACTCCGGCTAGGAGGCTGCTCCCTCCGCCGCACCGCCTCCTGCGCCGCCGTCGTCTCCGACTCCGGCCCCGGACATCTCTTCGCCACCGCTGCCTGCGCCGCCTTTCCCGCCACCACCGAAGGCGACCCAGTCGGCTTCTTGACTATGGTGACTCCTCCCACTGTCGAGGTACGTAGGCACTCACGCGTCGTCCACTCCGTCCCGTCCTCGCCGCTTCCCCATCCCCCTTCCCCGCGGCCTCACTCCTCAGTTACCTCCTGCCCGCCGAGCTACCGATCGGAGTGGCGCTCCTCGTCTTCGTCCCTAGGGTTTATCGGATCTGACCCCTCCTCCCGTTGCCCTCCTCGCTCGCAGCATGAGGACGAGGAGATGCTCGTGCCCGCCCAGGAGGTGGCCGCTGCCGACACCGACGCAGCGCAGCCCATGGAAGGTACTGTACGCTCTTATCTCATTTTGCTGCTTTGCTTCAGTTTGATTTGTAGCTTGGTTTGGCAATGTGCCACATTAGGAACTTGGTTCTGTGTGCTGGCATTATCCTGATTCTCCATACGGACGTGTTTCATGGCTATTGGCAGTGGTGGCACAGACTGAGGTGGTGAGCACGGCGGAGAGCCATCCTGTGGAAGATCCGCGAACATCGCGGTTCACATGGACAATTGAGAACTTCACCAGGTTCAATGGGAAGAAGCACTATTCAGAGGTTTTTGTCGTTGGCGGATTCAAATGGTGAGCTCCTGATCCGTTCCATTGTCCTGCCTCACGGAAACCATGGAGTTTTGTTTTCTACCCCTGTTCTTTAGAGTACCCATAACATCTGTTGACCTTCACGCAGGCGTGTGCTGATTTTCCCCAAGGGGAACAATGTGGACCACTTCTCAATGTACTTAGATGTTGCTGACTCAGCCAACCTCCCGTCTGGTTGGAGCCGCTATGCTCAGTTTAGTCTTGCTGTTGTAAACCAGATCCAGCCAAGTATACGATACACTTAAAGGTGTAGTTTGCTTTATGCTGTGTTTATCCACATCTCTGTGCACTTGAATGTAGAGGAAGAATGTTAAACTAGAAAAACATTACATGCCAAAGCAGCACATATAAACATGGGAGTAGAAGTGTTTGAATACACTGCTATTCTCATCCAAAACATTTTTATGACTTTGTCTGGAAAAAAAGTTACTGATTTTAAAGATTTTCTTGCATCAGGTGGGAAACCAGTTAATCTTATATGTATAGTGGTTTTGTCGCCATTTTAACTTTTATCTCATGTTGGATGGGCAGTGTAGACACTAGACAGTCTTGTTGACAACTTACCATGGTTGCATCCCTGACCTACGTAACTGAGTATTAGGTCTCTGAATTTGAAATAAACCTTTGTTCCTTAAATCTGTTATGAAGCCCCAATCAAGTCCCAGATTTGCAACTTGCGTCATCTACACAACTTTATTACTAGAGTAAAATTGTTAGCTTCCAGGTCTTTTTTTAGAACAACGCTTGTGTATCTTTGTATTAAAGAGAGAGGTTAGCTTCCAGCTTGTACCATTGTTGTGAAAATCCACCAACTTTAGTCGGTGAAATGGTTGAACTATCACCATGTAGGTGATATTAGTGGCGTTAGCGATTAATCAGTGGCAAATCCTATTATCAACTGTTTTCTTGGCTAATCATTACAGTATATGATGAAGAATAAACTGCAAATGCTATTTATGACAAATTATGTTAGAGAAGTGATATTTTTCCATAACCCTAACAAACAAGTTCCTGTAGGCACTAGCTGGGTGTCAGACCAACACCTATCACCAAATTTTCAACTAGACTGGCCTAGGTGGTTAGCCAGGATGGTTTCCATATAACATGCTGTCCCATGATTGACGATGGATTGATTTTTCTGTTCTATCTATATTTACTTAGATATTGTTGCTACGGAACTTTTGCTCCATTTCTGAGGATTGCAAATGCGGCACAATGCAATTTTTTAAGTTCTGTTGGTGATTAATAGGATGCATAGTGTTCTTGATCTAATGATGCTGATAAGGCTTGCTTTATCACCTTTGTTTGCCAATGGTTCTTGCTATGGATGTATCTAGCACCAACCCGTCATTTCGTCCCTGTCTGCAGATACCCAACATCAATTTAATGCTCGTGAGAGTGATTGGGGTTTCACATCTTTTATGCCTTTGAGTGAGCTGTATGATGCAAGTAGAGGTTACCTCGCGAATGATACTGTTGTTGTGGAGGCTGAGGTTGCTGTCCGCAGAATGGTTGACTATTGGACATATGACTCAAAAAAGGAAACTGGTTATGTGGGTCTGAAAAACCAAGGAGCTACCTGTTATATGAACTCCCTTCTACAAACACTATACCATATACCGTACTTCAGGAAGGTGTGGTACCATGCATTCTTACATTATAGGCATTATTCCTACTGCACTTCACTGATTTATTTTTTTCTGCTTTAAGGCTGTGTATCATATGCCAACCACTGAAAATGACATGCCATCAGGAAGTATTCCCTTGGCGCTGCAGAGCCTTTTCTACAAGCTCCAGTACAGTGACAGTAGTGTAGCTACAAAAGAGCTGACCAAATCTTTTGGATGGGACACATATGATTCTTTCATGCAACATGATGTACAAGAGCTCAACAGAGTTCTCTCTGAGAAACTTGAGGACAAAATGAAGGTAACATATATAGTGGAACTCGGATGTATAGTGCATTTTATCTTTTATTAACCTCACATCTTCTTAGGGCACTGTCGTAGAAGGAACGATTGAGCAATTATTTGAAGGTCACCACATCAATTACATTGAGTGTATAAATGTTGAGTATAAATCTAACCGCAAGGAGTCCTTTTATGGTATGGGCTGTATTTTCGTTGTTTGCTGACTAAGCAATGCCTTGGTAGCCCAAGTGGTAGCAACCTTGGTTGTTGTACTAAGTAATGCTATATGCCCTTGCAGATCTTCAACTTGACGTCAAAGGTTGTCGTGACATTTATTCATCATTTGATAAATATGTTGAAGTTGAGCGTCTAGAGGGTGATAACAAGTATCATGCAGAGAATCATGGTCTACAGGTAACCAAATATCTTGCTATTCATTAAGATGAAAACCAGCTAGAGTTGGTGTATTCATTAAGATATTTATGTGATTTGTGAGCTTCAATGTATTTATTTACTGAGATAGGAAATAACCAAATTATAACACAATATAGCCATATAGTGAACATGCGGACTGCATGTGATATTCCTTATACTTTCCGTTCCTTTTTCTGTTTGATGAAGGAAGTTTGTAAGTTGTATGATAACCTTTTTTTTTGTTCAGTTCATTATTGAATATATCTTGTGACTGGATTCAATCTTGATATTGCAGGATGCGAAGAAGGGAGTTCTTTTCCTTGATTTCCCCCCTGTTTTGCAACTCCAGCTGAAGCGCTTTGAGTATGATTATATGAGAGATACCATGGTTAAGGTTTGTTCTGGATAACTTGCACTTTGTTCAATTAGTTATATTGTTCGTGTACTTGTAAGATCTGCTACACCAAATGAGCCATTTCATTTAGGATGTGTGCAGCAATTACAATCAATCTAAATCGAAATGTTTTTAAGACCTATTCTTTGTTGAGATTGTCATGTCTATTAATACTTGCTTGCCCAGATTAATGATCGCTACGAGTTCCCTCTGCAACTTGATCTGGATAGAGATGGTGGCAAATACCTTGCTCCAGATGCAGATCGAAGTACAAGAAACCTTTACACTCTTCACAGGCAATGGCTTTTACCACTTACTGTACATCTTTGTATATGGCTTTAAATGAATTAATTTATTTACCGTCCGTGAGATGTCCTTTTTTTTTTCCTCGAGCAACGCATTGGCATTTCCTTTTTTGTTATGGTCTTTGAGAGTTTTGAGGCACCAGAGAATTTCTACTTATTTGTTCCATCTAAAATAATCGCTATTTGTTTTACCAACATGCTATGTGGGGCTGGCATAGGTTGCTATATAATGCTATGCTTAAGTAGACGTATGTATAAGGAAATTGGTTGATCATGTGCAAAATGCAGCCGCATGAACCTGCAGATTTGCAGACACTGCCACGATTACTATTTTTGATAACCATCGCACACCATTCATAATTTTCTTCTTATTTATTGTGTAGAGCACCAGTGCAGTTTGTTAGAAAGGTATTTTCAGTGCAATTGTGTATTGTGGTAATGTAATTTGCAAAGGTACTTGTGTAGTTGTTGGAGTATAAGTGAAATGTCCACCTCTCCCCATCAGCTTAAGCTTTTGGGTTGAACTGGTCGATTGCATGCAACTCAATATGGTACCAAAGCTAGAGGTCTTGAGTTCGAATCATGGTTAGTGCAATTAAATAAAATAATTGTTGCTTGCTCTATTCCACGCCTCAGGCCTGAGGGAGCCTCCACGTGAGGGGAGTGTTTGTTGGAGTATAAGTGAATTGTCGACCTCTCCCATCAGCTTAAGCTTTTGGGTTGAGGTATTTCACTCTGTTCTGGGGTTGCTGTGGGGATTCATCTCTTGTACACTATATGTCTATATCTACAGTTCAGTCCTTTTTCTTCTCCACCACCTAAGCGAACACTTGCTTCTTGCATTTTTTTTTGGTGTACTGATACTGCTTATCTTCTTTTATTCAGTGTTCTTGTTCATAGCGGTGGGGTACATGGCGGTCACTACTATGCATTCATACGACCAACTCTATCTGAGCAATGGTAGGCTTTTGTGTTGGTTTATTGTCGTGGTACACTTGCTTAACTAGTTGCTAGATGATTTCATTGCATTTTCCTTGCGCTTAGTTATTTAATGGTTGACTAGAACTATACCGACTTCCATTCTTAAGTTGGAGAACTAAATTAGCTGACTAAAATCTGTGTTTCTGACCACTGGGTGATTACCACTGAATGGTAGCAGTCATGTCTATAACTGTACAATTGTGGTACTGTAGAGTGTAGCATAAGCCTTTGCAGACCAATTTGAAGTTTCAGATTCTGTTTTCTCCTAACCAGTTGGCTATGGAATGCACCCATTTAATTTGTTCTGATTTTTTAGGACTGTTGGCAACTCAAACTAGTTGTCTATTAGAGGGGTTGATTACACTTGTGTTCTTTAGAATACACATTTGTCACTGCTCCCAATACACATTTGCACCCTCGGCTGCTTATAGTCCGTGATTCATCAACAACTGAACAGCATCATGCATGTCTTGAAAAATCCTCCTACTAGCAATAATAATATGCTCAACTAGTCCTTGATACAAGTTCAAGGAATAAACGCACTACATTAATGATCACTTGCATATGAACCACTTGAACACCGTACATACAACAACCATGGTTTTGAGGCGCTATGGCATCCTGTGGCGCTGGGTGCGCCTGGACGCCTAGACGCCTTCTAGGCAACACCTAGGCGATATGGCGTAACTAAAACTCTGTGGCATCCTCTGCACTGGGGTACACCTCAACACCTAGGCGACGCCTCAAAAACCATGACAACAACAAACCTTTTTGTCCAAGCAGTTTGGGATATGCTAGAAACAAAACCAAACAAGGAGCCACGAACAAAGAGGATAGTAGTATTAGTAATAGGAACAATAATAAAAAAGAAATTGGTATCCTAGGTCATTGTTCATGCACTTGGATTGCTATTCTCCATGTGCTCCTGTCCAAGGATAAAACATGTTCAATACCTTGTTCGGGACCTCACCGTAAGCTTGGGATTGAGCGATTCATTGGGGAGGAGTAACATTTTAGTTGCATTTGCCATGGGTACCCTTGCAAAATTTGGGCTATTGGGTTTGAGAAAAAGGTTGGGCTATTGAGTTGGTGAGCAATGGCCCAAAATACAAGTGGCTGGGTCCCATCCCATCCGGGTAGTAGAGGAGCAGAATATAAGACTGGGAACTTCTAAGCGACAAGACCCTCTCTACCGGCCCCCTCCTTCCCCATAACCCTAGATCTGCCCTTCTGTGGCATCCTGGATCACTGTTCTTCCGTGGTGCCCTGGGTCACTGTTCTTCTGTGGCACCCCAGCTAACTCTTCCTTCCTGAGGCTCTGATCCACCTATTTCCCTCTGAATCCAATCCCAATCCTGCCAAATCATTCCACTGATTGTTGAGGTATGCAATACTAGGGTTTCACTGCTTGAAGTAGGGGGGCAAAGTTTAATCTCTGTACAGTATTTTTGTTGCTACTGAAATGCTTGTTTTTTTATGTGAAAGCAATCTATGCTGCATGATCTGCATATTCTTGTAAACTCTCCAAATTTTCACCTCATGTTGTGCTCAGGTATAAATTTGATGATGAGCGTGTAACAAAAGAAGATGCTAAGAAGGCTCTTGAAGAGCAATATGGGGTGTGAGGAAGAGGTAAGTTCTATTTGATTTTTTATTCAAGGATAAATGTCTGAAATCTATATCTCATCTACTTATCACCATCGTTTATGTTTCTCTTTTGGATTAAACAGTTGCCCCAAATAAACCCTGGTTTCAACAATGCTCCATTTAAATTCATGAAGTATTCAAACGCCAGATATGCTTGTTTATATTCGTGAAAGTGACAAGGAGAAAATTATGTGTACTGTTGATGAAAAAAGACATTGCTGAGCATTTAAGGGTATGCACGATCTGTAGCATTATCCCTCGTTTTTACTGTGGATTCCATTTTTGGTATAGTTCGGTTGAGAACTGTGGATTTGTGTAGGTAAGGTTGAAAAAGAACAAGAAGAGAAAGAACACAAAAAGAAAGAAAAGCTGAAGCTCATCTTTATACCATAATTAAGGTCTGGATCTATGTTTCTTTCCTATTGATCTCATAATCTGAAATTGAGTATCTTTTTTAGCATTAAATTCTGGCAAATAAATCTAGGTAGCTCGAGATGAGGATTTGAAGGAACAAATTGGAAAGGATATATATTTTGATTTGGTGGACCATGAAAAAGTCCGTAATTTCCGTATACAGAAACAAATGCCTTTTAGTTCTTTCAAGGTAACATGCTTCCAGAACTCTGCACAAGTAATTTTTATGGTTGCAGATCTTTCTTATTATAGCTTTATAATACAAATTCCATTATTGTTATTGATATGTGGAATTGGATTCGACTTTTTTTTTGTTTATTTAACTTTTATTAAATAACTGTTTAATAGGAGGAAGTTGCCAAGGAATATGGCATCCCTGTGCAGTTTCAGCGCTTCTGGTTGTGGGCCAAGAGGCAAAACCATACATACCGCCCTAATCATCCATTGACCCTTCATGAGGAAACACAATCTGTAAGTTATTTGTTCATTTGTTGCTTCAAAGTGCTGGAGCTTATAGTTTATTCTGCAGATACCTTGGGAACTGCCGCATAACTTTTATTTGTTTCATTTTCATGCCAGTATTAGTAATACTGTAATGAAATCGGGAACATAATGAGCTGTATAAGTTGGAAATACTTATTATAAAAAGATTCAACTCTAGCCTACCCCAACTTGTTTGGGACTTAAAGGCTTTGTTGTTGTTGTTGTCTTTCTTGCTTAGCTAAGTTATTATTTTGTTTTAAATTTGACTCTTGAGAGGTATTAATTCATTTGGTGACTCTTTCCTTTTTTTTTTTGCAATTCTAATGACTTAAAAAGAATTTTATAAGATTTCTATGGACTTAACTCTTCACGTGCCTGAACCTTGATGGCTTCTGCTGGGTTTCAACTCTAGCTTACCCCAACTTGTTTGGGACTTAAAAGGCTTTGTTGTTGTTGTTGTTGTTGTTGTACTTATTATAAAAAGAACAGAACCAATGCTTGGATAAGGTTTAATAGTTACCGACTAGGGGTCTGGTCATGAACTAATATGCTGGATTTGGCTTGTGCAATTCTCAAAAGCTATCTTTATATGATCTCTTTTATATCTATATCTGATCAACATTACTATGATAGAAGTATTAGGATTCATCTCAGGCACTCTCATCAGTGGTCTATATTGTTATGTGATGTAGTATAATATGTAAGACGAACGTCATAAAAGACAAGAAATCTTTCATCATTCTCAAGGATTGTTCCTGTTCTCAAATACTAAGGGTTGGGATAACTTTAGGAATTTGTTGAGTTGATATATATACTTAAGAAAAGGAACCTTTCAGGAATTGGTTTAGCTGATATGGAATACTTTGCTTCCAGAAAAACAACTAGTAGCCCAATCTGTTGTGTTTAGTTGTCAAGATGCTATAGCAAAATTGTGAAGAACTTTGTAGAGCCTTGCACTTATTTATGTGGACCTTTGCAGTGTTATTTTTTTGTTTTGATTTTGTCTTCCTTTATTTTTCACATTTCAAATTTATGTGAATATATCTCATTCTTTTCTTTCCCTGCTTAGGTGGGGCAACTGAGGGAGGTATCAAATAAGGCACACAATGCTGAGTTGAAGCTGTTTTTGGAAGTAGCACTTGGGCTGGTAATGATATGCTTGATTTGTGCTTCCTTCCTGTTCTGCATGTTACTTATTTTAGTGTTTGCCATGGCACTCTTTGTTTACCCATTTAGGATTTGCGGCCGCTCCCTCCTCCTGAGAAGGGCAAGGAAGATATTCTTCTTTTCTTCAAACTCTACAACCCAGAAAAGGAAGAACTTTGGTACCTTCTGTTTTAACTGATAACATTGTCATCTTGTCCTAAGTAGTGCTTCTTTATCCTTCATTAAAATAAGTGTATCATCATGTGACTCATGGGGTTGTTTCATCCATGTAGTTTTATGGGGAGGCTCTTCGTGAAGGCATTGGGCAAACCTTCAGAAATCCTGGCAAAACTAAACGAAATGGCTGGATTTTCCCCTGATCAAGAAATTGAGCTTTATGAGGCAAGATTGATTTTTTGTTTTGATATATTTATTGTCCTGATGATTTGTCCACTAGTGCATTGTTGTAGTGCATCATTGTCCAGATGCATTAATTCTGTCCCTGATGACCTTATGATGCCTACTGTGCTTAAATTGTTCCATTGGTACATATGCAGGAAATTAAGTTTGAGCCAAACGTGATGTGTGAAATTATCGACAAGAAACTCACTTTTCGTTCTAGTCAGGTTTGTCAATACACTTCTATTCAAAGGGATGCATAACTCAAATTAAAGGGTTATTTATCGAATTATTTCCAAAATTTCTCAATATTTTAGCTTGAAGATGGGGACATTCTCTGTTTCCAAAAATCACCAGGAGCAGACTATGATGCACGAGTGCGATATCCAGATGTTCCTTCATTTTTGGAGTATGTCCATAATAGGCAGGTGTGGTGTCCGTATGTCCAACTTGATTACGATTTTGTACTGTAGGTATAAGACTAATATTTGTTATTCCAATTTTCATATGATTTTACTTCCATTTGTAAGCTATTATTGCACATTCAGTCTGCCACATCTATTTATGGTCATGTTCCAGTTCCACATCATTTCTGGTATGTTTTAGGTCACTAGAAAATATACAGTGAGAATTTTTATTTGTAGTTTTTTTTCTCTTTTAATGGAACTGATCTATCTAGTGTACCATGTTTACTTTTTTAATGTGTATCCACCTTACTAATAGCCACAACCAAGCCTCTGCTGCATCTCATGCAGCAGCTTGATGTTGCTTTTTCATTGTATTGCTCCAAATTATATGCTGCAGAAGGGACATCTGTTCATAATGTCCATGCATTCCTTTTCCTCTTCTTCACATCAGTATTTATTGGTGGCATAGTTTCTCTACAGTTTATTTGTCAGCAATATAGTTTATTCTTAAGAACAATATGGCACCTTTTATCTTAGAGCTTTTGCCAGCAGTTATTAAAACCTGCTTTCTCATCATGTTCCTGAAGTAACTGTTGTGGTTGCTGCAGGTTGTGCATTTCCGGTCTTTGGAGAAACCAAAGGATGATGCTTTTTCTTTGGAATTGTGAGAGTTTGCTTATTGTGCATCATTGTTCGGTGAAATTGTTTAATTGAATATATATCTCACCCAATATGTTCTTTTCCATGCCTCAAGGTCAAAGCTTCATACCTATGATGATGTTGTTGAGAGAGTTGCTCGCCAACTTGAATTGGACGATCCAGCGAAAATTCGGCTTACATCCCACAATTGCTACTCTCAGCAACCTAAACCACAACCTGTCAAATATCGAGGAGTGGAGCATCTGTTGGACATGCTCATCCATTACAATCAGGTTAACCTTTTTCGTTTCTTTTGGTCAATATGAGCATGCTTTCTGTGTAACAAAATGTGTTGGACTTCCTACTGAAGCACTATCTGGTACAGACGTCTGACATCTTGTATTATGAAGTGTTGGATATACCACTGCCAGAATTGCAGTTCCTGAAAACCCTAAAAGTCGCATTCCACCATCCTACGAAGGATGAGGTTTGTTTTGCTACCAGGCACATATGGTGTACTGCCTAAAGTATTTTGTGTATATCTTCATATGATATCCTTTCTCCAGGTTGTTATTCATAGTATCAGGCTTCCAAAAAATAGCACCATTGCTGATGTAATAAATGACCTGAAAACTAAGGTAAGCAATACATTCCCCTCAATCCCTTTTGTAAGTGTAGTTTTGTTCTTCAGAGTTACACTTCAGCGGAACTAAGCTGACACTATTGTGTTGACCCTGAATATATCCATATATCCTTGTTAGTTCTATTAGTTTTTTTTCCTTGATGTTTTAGACCTGTGTGCACTAGATCATGTTTTGGGGGTGTGCCCCTACGGCCATACCTAAGTGTTTTCCTTGCTACCTAAAACTTGTTAGGCCCCCTCAGTCAAGCATTGTTGCCAATGAACAAATAGACTAATTCTTATTGAATGTAGCAAACACTAATGTAGGTAGGTGGGGCATTCCAGATGTAGGCTTGTCTCTTCAAAGTCTTATACAACAATAAATAAAAAGGAACATTTTGTAGCTCTTAAGAGTTAAGACATTAAAGGAAAAAGGTAGCAGCAGATGGAGTGCGTAATCTGGTTAAAGGGTCTGGTCATACTTGTATTTTTTTGAAAGAAAACTGTGAGCTTGCTCCCCAGCGCTTTATTGAAACCAGGAACCAAAACATGTTAGCTAGAAGCTAACAAAAGACTTGCCTACTAACAAGTTACAAACGTTCAAAGCCGCCACAAGAAGAAAGCATTACAAAGCATTGAGCCAGTTCATAACTGAAACTTGAAGATTGCTAGGGATCCTATGAGGATGAAGCTTAACTTCATTCTTGAAGATCAGTTTCCAGGACGCAACAGCTGGCACTTTGTTATCAAAGATGAGTGCATTATGCTCTTTCCAAATACTCCATGGTCCACGCCACAATCATGATCAGATCCATGAAGAAAGGAGAGTTGAACCTGGTCTTCTGCTTTGCTAGTGGTCAAACTTATATTATCACTTATAGTTTTCTATCAAACTGTACTTGTTACTAACCTTGGAGATCTGAGAAGATAATCACTCCACGGGTTGAGAGGACTATATATAGAGAGCCTCATGGGCTATATGGGCCTATAGATATAAGGGCCTTCATACACTTGACACCCCCCTTCAAACTCAAGGTGGAAGCGGAGGATTTGAAGCATTGAGTTTGATCAAGTGAAGCCGATGCTGCTCTCCAGTTTGTGCTTTAGTGAAAAAGTCAGCCAATTGCAATTCCGAAGGCACATACTGGAGAGATAGTTTTCTGATGACAATGAGACCGAGTAAAGAAGGCATCCACACCAATATGCTTTGTAAGTTCATGCTTCACAGGATCATTAGCAATTTGTATGGCTCCTGTATTATCACAGAGAAGAGGTGTGGCAACATCACAAGAAATGCCTAAATCAGTCAACAACCATCGAAGCCATACAATCTCTGCAGTAGTAGTAGCAAGGGCTCAAGTTCGCCTCCGTGCTAGAGCGAGATACAGCTGTTTGCTTCTTGGACTTCCATACAATAGGAGAAGAGCCAAGAAGAATGCAATATCCAGTGATTGAACGTCGATCTGTTGGGTCACTCGCCCAAGTGGAGTCCGAGTAAGCATGAAGCCAAAGCGGACTATCATGCGCATAGAATAAACTTTGAGATGATGTCCCCCGTAAGTAGCGTAGCACGCGAAGTAAATGTCCAAAATGAACAGAAGTTGGGGCACAAACAAACTGACTCAAAATATGGACTGCATGCGCAATATCAGGCCCGGTGACAGTGAGGTAAACAAGGCTGCCCACAATATGTTGATATCAAGAGGGATCCTCAAGAAGTACCCCATCAGTGGGACAAAGCTGCAAGTGAAGATCCATAGGTTTTGCAGCAGTTCGATTATCAGTGATGCCTGAACGAGCAATAAGATCTTGTATGTACTTAGACTGAGAAAGATGGTATCCCTTAGTAGATTGCTTGACCTCAATGCCTAAGAAATAACTGAGAGGACCCAAATCAGACATCTGAAATTCAGCACTGAGCTGTTGTTTCACTTGGGAAATGTGATCCTCATCATCACCCATAATCAGCATATCATCAACATATAGAAGAAGCAACGTACGACCACGTGGTGACAAATGAACAAATAAAGCCAGATCATGATCACTAGGTGAAAAACCAGCAGCCCGTATCACGAGACAAAAACGCTCATGCCAAGCACGAGGAGCCTGTTTAAGGCCATATAAAGCACGTCGAAGACAATAGACATATCTGGAGGAGCGACAACACCGGGGCGGTTGCATGTAAACTTCTTCACCAAATCACCATGAAGAAAAGCATTCTTGACATCCATTTGAGATATAGGCCAAGAAGAAGCCACCGCAATTAACGTATTTGTCATATGAGCAACAGGGGGGCAATGTCTCATCATAATCTAGACCACGAGTCTCGCTAAAAACCTTTGGCAACAAGACGGGCCTTATATCTCTCTATAGAGCCATCTCGACTTGGTCTTAACTTTGAATACCCACTTAGATGTAATAGGTACCGTAAAGCGATGGCAATGGAACAAGATCCCAAGTGCCTTGACGATCAAGGGCAGCAAGTTCCTCAGACATAGCTAGCTACCATTCTGGAATACAAGAAGCTTCCTGATAAGTGGATGAGCCATCAACAACAGCATGCACATGGGGAAAACCATACTTCTCTTCGTGATGAATGGTATCATGGTCTCGAAGATTATATCGTGGAGCAACTTGTAACTCATCGAAGATGTGAATCATCAATGTTATTATTAGAAGCATCAACAGCGGGCTCATCGGGACTAGCCAAGGTGGTAGAACTAGACGGAAGCTGGGAGGGATTTCTAGGACGATGGCTGAAGACACGTGTAATAGGTGGTTTTGAAAAAGAATGAGATGGAGGCGAGGATGTTGTAGGAGGAGGTAAAGGTGGTGTGATGGAAACAGGAGGATCAGATGGTGTAGAGGCATCATCGCTGGATGAAATTGGAGGAAAACTCAAAAAGGAGGTGGACTCTGTGGGAGAGTATGAAGGCTTGGTTTGGTGGAAGGGTTATAAAAGAAGGGACGATCCTCATCAAAGGTAACGTCACGAGAGATACATATGCGACGGGAAGAAGGGTCATAACATCGATAACCTTTATGCTCAGGACTATACCCTAGAAAAACACATTCAACAGATTGTGTAGTCAATTTTGTGCACTCACGAGGTGCAAGCAAAACATAGCATGTGCATCCAAAAACTCGGAGATGATCATAGCTAGGAGTACCATAAAGTACTTCACCAGGACATTGATCAGACAATTTGGATGAAGGTTGCCTATTGATGAGATAGACAACAGTGGAAACAGCTTCACCCCAAAAATGACAAGGGACAAATGATGAAATCAGAAGTGTGCGAGCTGTCTCTATGAGATGGCGATGTTTTCGTTCAGCAACACCATTCTGAGCATGAGCACCTGGACAAGAAAGCTGTGCAAGTGTGCCCTCAGACGACAGAAATTGGCGGAAGGCAGCAGACAAATATTCACCCTCGGAGTCAGAACGAAGAACTTTATTGGGAGTAGAAAATTGTGTGTGAACCATTCGAACAAAAGACTGATAAATGGAACACAATTGCGAACGATGTTTCATGAAATAAATCCATGTATAGTGAGAATAATCATCAATAAAAATGACATGATATTTGTGGCCACCTTTTGTAGCAAAAGGTGCAGGACCCCATACATCGGAATGAATAAGATCAAAAGGTCTAGCAGAATGAGAAACACTAGAAGAGTAAGGAAGTTGTATTTGTTTGCCAAGCTTACAACCCTTACAATGAAAGCTAGACTCAATAGATGTATGACCTAAACAACCTGTATTTATCATGGAGGACAAACGAGACCCACAAAAATGACCAAGATGATGATGCCACTTGGTGAAGGAAGAGGCTGAAGACGATGCAGCGGATGAGACATGAGCTGTAGATGCAACGGACAAAGGAAGACGTAGGGTGTCCAGAACGTAGAGGCTAGAAGTACCTTTACGGCGATGGCCAGTCCCAATCACTTTCCCGCTGTGACGGTCCTGAATAAAACAAGATGAGTCATCAAAACCAACAAAGCAATTCTGGTCGGTAACTTGACCAACCGACAGGAGATTCATAGACAACTGAGGTACAAAAGAAACATTGGGTACAGAAAAATGATTATTGCAAAGTGAACCCTGATGAGTGATATGACAAGATGTACCATCAGCTGTCTGAATAGAAGCACCATCAGGGACCGGCTTGCAAGCAACTAGCTGGGACTGATCCGATGTCACATGAAAAGAAGCCCCTGAATCAAGCACCCAAGTCGAAGGAGCACTAATAGTCGAGGAGGCAGCCACTGAAACTGAGCCTCTAGAAGTGGAACCAGTACCACAACCACGACCACGACCACCATGAGCAGCACGCCGCGCACGATACTCTGCCAACTTCTCTGGATGATGAGAGAAACAATTGTCTGAGAGATGACCGGTCCTGCCACAATGCCTACAGGGCTCTGCAGAGGTACTATTGGGTGCACTGGTCCTCTGAGAAGCTGCCAACACACCATGAGACACTGCAGAGGACAAGGACTTGAGACGGGTTTCTTCTGCAAGTAAGTCAGACAAAGCCTTTGCCATAGTGAGATCAGAAGAACTGTGAAGCAATCGTGTACGAATGGAATCATACTCAGCTCGAACTCCCATGACAAATTTATAAGTATAAAACTTTTCAATAAATTTATGTGCTGGACAAGGAGCAGCTGAACATTCAGGTATCATGGAAGTCAGTGATCCCATCAATCGATCAAAAGCAGAATAGTACTCATCAATGGACATATCATGCTGCTCAATGACATGAGTTTGCTGCATAAGATTATGTAAAAGAGCACCACTGTCCTGTACATACCGCTGCTTCAGATTTTCCCATATGGCCTTAGCAGTTTTGAACTTTGACAGACTCATAATCAAGGATTGTTTAGTACTGTTGACCATGGCAGCCATCACTTTGCCATCATTAATACCCCAATCTTTTACTGCAGTAGCATTACTACCATCCTCCTTAAGCTTAGGGGCGTTATCAGTTAGATGAAAGAGTAAACCATGACCCCTTAATGCAGTTTCCACACAGAAAGCCCATTCAGGATAATTTGGACCCTCTAAAGTGATACTGATGACGATTGCAGTAATCTGAGACATATTGAAGTCTGCTGGAGCGTGAATAACAATTCAAAAAGCAGAGGACCAGACAACAGTTACCACCACCGATGCAGCAGCAGATGGTAGAAGGTGGACTGCTCCCCAGATCAAACGGAAGGAGACAGCAGGCGGATGACGAGGAAGCCGCGTCTGGCCGGGTGGGCGAGACGAGCCAAGAGGAGCCGCTGAAGTCTAGACGAGGCTGCTGCGTGAAGTCCCGACTAAGCCGCACGCCTGCACGCGTCAACTCCCGCACAGGAAGGCCGCAAGCGTGACAGAACCGCCGCAGGGAGGCAGCAGCGGCGTGACAGAGCCGCGCAGGGGAGGCGGCAGCGTGACGAAGACCACGCGCGGGGATGAAAACCGTGGGTGACTGGCGATGCTGGAGACGGGCCGCGTGTCCAAAACAGAGGACGGGCGACGCTGGAGACGGGCCGCGTGTCCAAAACAGAGGACCTGCACGGCGGCGGACCGTGAGCAGAGGAAGGAAACTGCGCGGCGACTGGCCACACGGAAGGACGGCGCGGCGACGTGCTGCGTGGAAGGACGGCACGGCGACGGGCCGCACGGAAGAAACAGAGGATGATCCCAAGGGAAAAAAATGGATCGTGGGTGATTTAGATGAGTCTAAACCTAACCCTAATCCATGGCTTTGATTCCATGTTACTAACCTTGGAGATCTGAGAAGATAATCACTCCACAGGTTGAGAGGACTATATATAGAGAGCGTGGGTGATTTAGATGAGTCTAAACCTAACCCTAATCCATGGCTTTGATTCCATGTTACTAACCTTGGAGATCTGAGAAGATAATCAGTCCACAGGTTGAGAGGACTATATATAGAGAGCCTCATGGGCTATATGGGCCTATAGATATAAGGGCCTTCATACACTTAACAGTACTAAGTGTCCAAAAAAGACTTGAATTTTAGTAGTGGAAATTTGTCCCACAAATAGTTGATTTAGAGCTACTAGGAGTATTAATTGTCCTTGTGAGCCACCTGCACCCATTAAGGGCCTGTTTGGAACACGGGATTTTAAATGTGGTGCCTAATTCCTTCATTACCTGCCTTGGTCAAGCAATATGGCCATTAAATCCTGGGGCTGCTGGAGACATCACAGCCAATCCAATCTTTTCACCATAAAATACATAGATATAATGGAGGGCATCTACGCCTTTTCTCCATGGTAATTACCTGTCTGGTTTGCTAAAAATCATGTCTTTGTGGGATGGATGGAGTAAAAGATTATTGTTTGGTGTGAATGTGGGTGTTGTTCGGGTGCTAAACCCTTCTCTTTTCTTAATATATAATAATGATACGCAGCTCTCCTGTGTGTTCTAGTGAAAAAGTAAAAGCAACTGTAAAGTGGCTTGTTAGGTTTCTCTTGGTGGTTTGGTTCATTAAGCTTTTAATTGTACTAATCAACAGGTTGAACTGTCCAGTCCAAATGCTGAACTACGTGTGCTAGAAGTTTTTTACCACAAGATCTATAAGGTACTTTGGGCATTCATATGATACATCATGAGCATTACACAATATACAGTGTTTCTTATGTTTTATTTTCTGGAGAACAAAGATTTTGTAACTAGTGTAATGAATTCTTCTATATAAAAAAACTATCATTTTTTTACTGTATTCATTATGGCTACTTGCTAATTCAAGTTTTTTCATAGATCTTTCCACTACAAGAGAAGATAGAGAATATAAACGATCAATATTGGACACTACGTGCTGAGGAGGTGTGTAATAATTTTGTCCACTGTACTTGGTGGCTGTAGTTCCAATCTGAAAAGTTCTTAGTAACCTCATAAGTGCGTCTATCAATTGGTGTAGATTCCAGAAGAGGAGAAAAACATAGGTCCAAATGATCGGCTAATTCATGTTTATCACTTCACGAAAGATATTAATCAGACTCAGGTAGTGCACTTATTAAGTTGTATTTGAAGATAGCTATACAATATTTTTTTATGTCAAGAATTGACATTGTTTTGACCTACAGCAAATTCAGAACTTTGGAGACCCGTTCTTTCTGCTCATTCATGAAGGTGAGACTTTAGCAGAAGTCAAGAAGCGCATACAGAGTAAACTTCAAGTCTCTGCCGATGAATTTTCCAAGGTGATCCATCAATCGAAGTTTCTTTTAATGGATGGAGTGACAACACATGAGTATTCATTAATAGTACCACTATTTCTGATCTGGTTCTTCTGTAATGGGCAGAATTCAGATGCCATACTTTACTATGAAAATTTATCAATCATCTCAAAAATTTCCAGTCACTTGTAAGAAAAAAGTCCCGTCCATCACAAGTGAATTAGATGGACATATTTTATGTCTTATAGAATGGTTTGCCAATTATTTTGCGAACTGTGATAGCAAAGTAATATTAATAAAGTGATATTCACTAACAGATCTTGATTTTTTGTTACTTCCAGGCCTTTTGGATTATTGCTGTTCTTTTTCTTGTCATTGTTATTCTTTTCTTTTACCTTGAGTTGCGTTGCATATTATGCAGCTGCAGAACTGATATACCTGTTAATATTCGTGTGAGCAGTGGAAATTTGCATTTATATCGATGAATCGGCCAGACTACCTCCAGGATTCAGATGTTATATCTACTCGCTTTCAGGTACATTGTTTGATGTTGCCTACACTCTTGTCTAGCTGTTTCCATGCTTGTCCTGTTTGCTGACCTTTGTCATCTGATTACTACAGAGGAGAGAGGTCTATGGAGCTTGGGAGCAATATCTTGGGATGGAGCACACTGATACTGCACCAAAAAGGGCTTATACAGTGAATCAGGTATGCTACTTTTTTGTGAAACAACACTGTTTAAATTTTCTACTGTCAATTTTGTGCACCATACTAGTGTCATCATAGCTTAGGCAAACATGCAATGCTTTATGATCTCAAATAGCTGCATCTTTATGAGATCTGCTGTAATCATTGCTATTTTCAGTGAATGGGTTAAAGGATCTTTGAGTCTGCATGATAATGTAGAGAATTCACTATTAACCCGTTTTATCTGAATCTATGTTTGACTCTGTTGCCTAGAATGGTTTTATAATTGCCCCCACCCAAGAAAGACGTTTTAATTTTTCTTCAGATATTTGCTGAGACTGTTTTGAGCTCTGGCATGCATGGTTACATGTCCATTGAATTTTTATGCACTTCACTGTACCATTCATATCATGTTTTGTATTCAGGTTCTGTTATTTAACCCTAACTTTCTTCCGGTGATTTCAACTACCTGCAGAACCGTCACTCGTACGAAAAGCCGGTCAAAATTTACAATTGAAATTTCTAACTGGTCTGGCATCATGGTGAAGTACTCCATATGAGAGGAGCAGCCAAAAAAGGGAGGATAAGGAATTTATACTGGCAGGGGAAACCTCATAGTTGTTAACCATTCGGTGTGCCATGACCATGTATTCCAGTGCTACAGGCCGGCTGCTGTCATCTCATCTGTAGCAGCCATCTCCCATAGCAATGATTTTTTCAAGATTTTCCTTCTTTGCCCTCTGGTGATGGTGCGAGCCATTGATGTCTGTTTCGGTTGGGTACAAGGGTGCTCCAAGGGCAGATATTGCCTCATTCTTAGAGCAAAGTTGGGTACATACGATTTTGGTAGGAGGCGTGTATACAGGCAGGCGGTATAGTTGTGACTCTCTCTCGGCTTGACCCGGCTGTCGTACTGTTGTTAATGTAATGACAGTGGTTGACTGTAAATTGGTTCCAATTTCCACCTTCCATCGCATGTCTGAAAAAGGAGAGTAATTTTGGGGCCTTTCAGAAACATGCAATATTTGGCATCTTGTTGCAATAAACTACAACTTGCTCAAGGACCTACTGCTTCGATCATCACTAAAGCAAAAAAAAAATTGTAGGTTTTTATTTTTGTTTATTTTTGCAACGTTGTCGTGATGAAATATAGTTGTATGCTTCTTAAGTGGACCCAAAAGTTGTAGTTTCCTACTGCTTTAGTTAACAATAGTGGTAGGTTAGTTTCAAAAAAAAAAAATCCCATAGTGGCAGGTTTTTGAACTCTTGAATAACTTGCTCAGAATTTGTAATGAGGCGGAGACAAAACTCAGTAGCATCGGTTTTGTTTGGAAATAAGCATCTATTTTTTTTTACAACAACACATTATATAACGTTATGAAAAAAGCTTTCCTAGGATACAGAGCAAGGAACTGTAAAAGAAATTGTTAAAGCACAATTGTAGGCATACGTGATGTTTTTGTCGGGGTCAAAAGAAGTGGCCACGGTAAAAACATCGATAGTCCTTATTCTCACATTCTTGCATTCCGATAATGTAGCCGGCAGTCTTCTTGACTGTTTAATCGGCCTTTGTCTTCGAGGATAAACGATCCTGAGTCATAGATAAGACATAAGTTTTACCGTACTCAAGAAAATGGTTCCACAACCATGTTACTGGCGACCCAAACTCTATTACTATATTACGATAGGATAAGTGGATCAAGGTCTCGAGCACCGGCGACTCGCCGTGCCCGCCGCCGCCGTCGCCCTCAAGCACAGTTCACGAATAATGACCAAGTCAAGTTTGTCTTTCCTCGCTACCGTTACAAGAAGGGGTAGAGAGCCACCTCCGACATGGGCCGCGCAGGTCCATTCTGCACGCAAGTCTTCATGGGCTCAATTGATCCACAGCGGCCCAGAGAAGCACGGATTCATCTTGTTGTCTCGCGCCTTCCTTCCGCTTCCCGCCAACTTGCTCCCTAAGACGTCTTCTCAGTTTACGCCACCAGCTTCAAAGGTTTCTTCAGGGTCACCTTCATCAGGGCGCTCCTCTGCATCAGTTCCGGTCACCGAAGTGGCACCGGTGACACCCCCCCTCCCTTGAGTACCAGCTTGCCCCCAAGCTGGAGCACGGGGAAACTGCTGTCGCAGGTCCTCTTCATCTTCCCAGGTGGACAAAGCAGGTGGTAAGAAGGACCACTGAACCAGAACTTGTGGAACAGTAACATCATTGTGTTGACGTAGGCGACGATCAAGAATCACCTGGGGTACCTGCAACTGATTAGTCGGATCAGGTAATTCAGTACTTACTGAAGTTGTCTGTGGCACTGCCTTCTTCAGTTGAGATACATGGAAGACTGGATGAATATGGCATTCTCAGGAAGCTGAAGCTTGTAAGCTGATGTGCCAATCTTTTCCAGAATCTTATATGGGCCAAAAAATCTGAAAGATAACTTGTTGGATGATCTGGTTGCCAAGGAAGTTTGCACATAAGGTTGAGCTTTCAGATAAACTTGATCACCGAGCTCAAAAACTCTGTCAGATCTGTGTTTGTCAGCTTGGAATTTCATTTTGTTTTGAGCCCTTATCAGATGCTGTCTGACAACATGTTGCATCAACTCCCTTTTAGCAAGCCAATTGTTCAGATCAGCCACTTGGCAGGATTATGACAGGTCAATGCCAAAGTGTTTTGGTTCATGGCCATATAACACAACAAAAGGAGTTTTGCCCAAGGAAGAGTGAAATGTGGTGTTATACCAATACTCAGCAAGTGCTAACCAATGAAACCATCTAGTGGGGCAAGTGTGGACAAAGCATCTTAGGTAGGTTTCAAGGCATTGGTTAACCCTTTCAGTTTGACCGTCGGTTTGTGGGTGATAAGCACTGCTCATACGGAGGTCAATGTGAAGTAGTTTGAAGAGTTCCTGCCATAGGTGACTAGTGAACACCTTATCCCTGTCAGACACTATGGCAGTAGGGAGGCCATGTAGCTTGAAAATATTGTTCAGAAATAATTGGGTGACTTGGAAGGCTGTGAATGGGTGTGACAAGGCTAAAAAGTGAGAGTATTTGGAGAATTTGTCAACCACCACTAAAATGCAATTGTAACCAGCAGATTTGGGCAAGCCTTCAATGAAATCTATGGTTACAACTTGCCAAGCCCCATCAGGTATAGGTAAAGGTGCTAACAGGCCAGGGTAAGCTACGCGTTCTGTTTTGGCTTGTTGGCAAATAGAGCATTGAGCTACAAATGTTTTAACAGACTCCTGGAGTTTAGGCCATGCAAACAGATTTTTAATTCTGTGATATGTGTCTTCTACACCTGAGTGACCACCAATAGCACTAGTATGCAAGGAAGTTAAGATTTTAGCTTGCAAAGAACTGTTGAAGCCAATCCATACCCTGCCTTTATACCTGATCAATCCATCTTGTAGTGTATAATGGCCCACAGAATTCTGGACAGACAATTCAGTGAGTAGCTGCATAGCATGACTGTCTTGTTGATATCCAGTCTGAATATCTTGCAACCACACAGGTTTGACAATAGACAGGGATGAAATATCATAAATATCAGTCTGAGTGACTCTTGACAAGGCATCTGCCACTCTATTTTCAGACCCCTTTTTATAGACAATCTTGTAAGAAAGCCCCATGAGCTTGGTCAAGGCCTTGTGTTGCCAAGGTGTGGACAACCTTTGATCTTCAAGATGAGTCAAACTCTTTTGATCAGTAAGAATCACAAATGGTGATGTTTGAAGGTAGTGGCGCCAATGATCTACAGCCATAATGATAGCCAGATATTCTTTTTTCATAGGTAGACAGTCCCTGTGCCTTAACTCCCAAAGCTTTGCTCACGAAGGCAATTGGATGACCTTTCTGTTGGAGTACAGCCCCTATACCCTTTGCTGAAGCATCAGTCTCAATAGTAAATGGCAAGGAGAAATCAGGCATTGCTAAAACTGGAGCAGTGATGAGGGCCTGTTTAAGTGCCTGAAATGAGGCTTCTGTAGCAGAAGTCCAAACAAATAGAGTTCCCTTCTTGAGTAAGTCAGTCAGAGGTTTACTGAGTAGACCAAACTGGGCAACAAACTTTCTGTAATAACCTACCATTCCCAGAAAGCTTCTCAAATCTTTTACATTATGAGGTTGTGGCTAGTTTTTGATGAAGTCAATTTTTGTGGGGTCTGTAGGCAACACCTTGAGCACTGACCACATGGCCCAGATAGGTTAGCTGGTGCTTTGCAAATGAACATTTAGCAAGCTTCACATGAAACTGATGCTGTTGTAAAATAGCAAGCACCTCTGCTAAGTGATGAAGATGGTCCTGCCAGGATTTGCTGTAGATGAGTATATCATCAATAAAAACAACTACACATTTCCTCAGTAATGGAGCCAAGATAATGTTCATAACAGCTTAAAATGTGGCTGGACCCCTTGTGATTCCATAAGGCATGACACAGTACTCATAGTGCCCATGATGAGTTTGAAAAGCAGTTTTGTATTCCTCTCCTTTTGCCATCCTGATTTGATGAAACCCAGAGCACAAGTCTAAAGAGGAAAACCATTGAGCTCCATGTAGTTCATCCAACAAATCTTCAATGAGGGGTAAGGGATATTTGTTCTTAGTGGTAAGAGCATTTAAGCGTCTGTAGTCCACACATAATCTCCAGTCACTAGTCTTCTTTCTCACCAGTAAGGCAGGTGAAGAGAATGGGCTTGTACTGACTTGAATCCACCCTTTTTCAAGCATTTCAGCAATTTGATTTTCAATTTCACTTTTTTGGGAAGGGTTGTACCTGTATGGCCTTAAGCAGAATGGTTGAGCCCCCTCCAACAATGGAATCTTATGGTCTCCAGATCTTTCTGGTGGCAGGGCAGTAGGTGGTGCAAAAACACTCTCAAATTGCTGTAAGAGATCTTGGAGTTCTGTAGGTAAAGGTGGTGAGGTGGAGGTGCTGTGTTCCTTGGCTTGCAACTAGACCACATATAAGATGGAATCAGTTCTGTCCAAAGCCTGGAGTTGGTACTGAGAAACTGGTGCCCTCATTTGCACAGAAGGAAGAATACCTTGTAATTTGATGAACTTGTTATGTTGAAACTGCAACCATTTGTCAACCCAGTGGACCTCCATGGGACTATGTAACTCTAACCAGTCCATGCCTAAGACCACATCATAGCCTTTCAATGGTATAATTTTCAGAGTAGTGTGGAAGGAATGCCCTTGAATAGCCCAAAGTTGCTCTGATAATTCATGAGTACAACTGATTAATTCTCCATTAGCCACTTGTACCTTGACTAGGTGTTTTAGCTGTTGACCAGAATCCAGATAGGGAAGTAATTGGTCACTGATGAAACTGTGAGTGCTTCCTGAATCCACCAACATAAATACTTCCTTGCCTTGTAAGTGACCTCTGAGTCTAATAGTTTTGGACCCCTCAGTTCCACTCAGTGCTTGTACAGATAGAGCCATCAATTCATCATCTGAATCTGTATCTTCTTCAAAAATAAAATCCAGTTCTAACCCTTCAGTAACACACTTCCACAATTGTTCCATAGCATTAAGAGAAACTGTAGGAGGACA